ATTGATTTTTTTAACAATAAAGCACAATAATATGTTATCAATTCTATTTGAAAAGTGGTAAGATTAAACAAGTTATGAAAACAATTTTTTCGGTCAAAAATAAAATAATTAATACCGATTTTCACCTCGAAATCCTATCATATAAAATCGAGATCAAAAAATATAATTTTTTTTATTTATGTAATACAATACCTTGAAACAAATTGAATTATTCTCAGGAATTTATAAAGGGTGTTTAATAATTATGTATATTTTAAAATACTTTTTTGAAGATTGGGTTTAATAAATATATTTGAAAATAAATTTGCCCAACTTTTTTGGAAATATCTTATAGAAATTTGTTGCCATTGTTGTAAGAATGTCCATAATCCCATTAGTTAATAAATTCATAAGTAATGTTTTTAAATGAGGTTCTTGAATTTTACAATGATAGTTGAATAAATAGAAAGTAAAAAATATTGAAATATATTTTTTTCATAAATCTGGGTCCAATTTATAATTTGAAAGGAAGGTGTTTTGTAGGGGTTTGTATAATATTTTAATTATAGAAATTTTTAAATTTAAGAACAAAACCATTTTTTTTATTTTTACAAATTTTTAATTTTAGTTTCTAATTTTTTCTTGGTTTAACTTTATTAAATTTTTGTTTTTCCTTTTTTTTTTTTTGATTCTTTTTTTTTTTGATTCTTTTTTTTTTTTGATACTTTTTTTGATTTTTTTTTTCAATTTCTTTTTAATACTTTTTTTTTCAAAAGTTTTCTTTTTCGTTTTGTTATTTTTTTTTTTTTGCTTTTTCTTTTTTTTGAAAATTTTTATTTTCTTTTTTTTTTTTTGATCTTTTTTTTTTTTGCTAAAGCCAAGTTGGAAAAAAATCTTCCAAAAGACAAATGATCACTAAAAAATTAAGAATGTATAATTTATTTTGAAAAGACTTGAATTATTAGAAAAAATTTGATATGTTAAATTTTTTATCAGTGAAAGTTCAGTACAAATAATGGATAATTTTCTTTTCAAAAATTGTGACTTTTTTTTTTTTTTCGTTTTTGATTTTATTTTTATAATAATTTATTCAATATCAGGTTTTTATATGTGTGGAATGATTTAAAAGTGGTGTTTGAATCGGATTTAACTATTAGTTGTTCTTAAATACTAAAGTATTTTTTTTTTATTTTAATTTATTATTTCAGGTTAGTCACAACTTTTGAAATAGAGTTAATGTTAATCAAAGATTCAAGCCCCCAAAATTTAATTAAATTTGAAATAATTTTACTTATTATTTGATTTTTAAAATAAATAATTAATTAGAAAGGATATTTGTCAACTTTTCTATAATTTTCTCTATTTTTATGAAATTTTTTGTTTTTTTTAGAAGACAAAAATATATTTCTTCAATAAATAACCTTTTTTTGATATTAATTTTGCAATTTGATCATTTATTTTTAGATTTTAATTTTTTTTTATAAAACTTTTAGAAATTAAGACCAGATTTAATTTTGCTTTATTTTTGGTTTATTGGGTGGACAAATTAATAAATGTTTAATAAAAAAAGAAATTGTGTTTTTTATTTTGAAAAAATGATTTTTCTTCTTGCGTTGTGTGATTTTAACAAAAGTATAACTTAATTTTATTGAGAAAATTTTGTTAAAATTCTATCAAAATAAGATTTAATTAAATCACTTCTATCAGAATTGGTTTAATTGTTGAATATTTGAATAGAAATATTAATAATTAAAAATAATAATAAAAGAAAGATTTATCTTTCAAAATCAAGACTTCACAACATAAAACTAAATATATATTTTACCATTTTCAAGAATTAGTATAATTATTAATAAAAATAAAAAAGAAACTTTTCAGGTGTTTTTCTTATAATATCAGAAATATATGATTATTTGGAATTCAAAAAATAGACCCAATTTATCAAAATGTTTAGATCAGGCTAATTCAACCTGTTTCATAATTCAAAACATAAAAATTAAAAAAAAAAAAAAATAATTAGGATCTCAACAATATTTTATTTTGTTTGTAAAAAATACTGTTTCAAAATATTTTTCTTAACATATATTGTTGCATTGAAGATCAAAAAAAATTAATTAAAATTCAAAAAGTAAATTTAAACAAAAAATTCCAATTTTGATCATGTTAAAAAAGGAAATTTCATTTTAAATACAGAGTTTTTATTTTATTTTATTTTTTTTTTTTTTTTGATTAGTTTAATTTGTATATCTCAATGAATATATAAGATTCCTTTCAAAAAAAAAAAAAGTAAAATAATAAAAGTGTGTTTGTCTGGTTGATGGATCTGTGGGTACAAATGTTATAAAATATTATAAACTGTTGAAACGATAAATGAAGTATTTTGTCCATTACTTTTGTGGTTTTAGTCTATCCTTTTTTGAATTTTTTTTGTTGCAAATTTTTTTTAAATTGAAAAATTCTTGATGAATTTCATTATGGGGATCTTGGGTTTTGTTTCTTAAAATATTTTAATTGAAATTCTGAACAATAATATTAATTTTAGACTGGTATATCTTTATTGGTTTTTTTCGAATTCTTATATTGATAAATACAAAAAAAAATGACAGTTAATAAAATATTTTTTAAAAGGGAATATTTTTTTTACAATGATATCCAAAGCTATTAAGTTATTAGAACTCTTTTTTGATGAAAAAAATATCTGAAAATATGAATAATTTGTAATTTGCAGCCTTCTGATAGAAATAGTTATTGATATAGGGTATAATATTATATGTGTTGGTCACCTCTCTGAAATTGTTCCTATCAAAGAAGCTGTTTGGTATTAATAATTTGTTTGTGAAATTACCCTTCTTTGGGTTGAAATCTTTACTAGAATAATTATAAAAAAAATAATGATTTCAATTACAGAAAAATCAATTGAAAAAATAAAAAAAATAGAATGTGATCCCCCCTTGGCAAAAAAATCAATCTAAAGAAAAAGGTTTAAAAGCATTATTCAATTTGGCAAATTAAAATAATAATAAAAAAAAACAGGTTTTTGATGTAAAAAAATAAGATATTTCCAAAAAAGTGGGCAATTTTTTTTTTACATTTCATAAAAAATCATGATTGTTAGTGATAGTATTTATGAATTGACAATACCAAAACAAGTTTTATATTAATACTGGTTAAATCAATGACCTAAGGTATTTATTTCAAAATATGTTAGTTGAAATATTCCGAAAAAATGAAAAAAAAAATAGCACTTTTTTTGGTGAAAACAATGTACAATCAACTTCAATAAAAAACTGGAAAAATTGAAATAGTACAAATGATTTTTATAACAATAAAAATTCAGTTATATTCTTTCAATTATATTTCAAAAATTAGTTGTTGAGATTAAACAAGTTATGAAAATGGTTTTTTCGATCAAAAAGAAGAAAATAAACACCAATTTTCACCTCTATAAAATATCAGATAAGACCAAGATCAGAAATTTTAATATTTTTTATTTATGTAAGACAATAATAAGAAACAAAATGAATTGTTATCAAGAATCGATAAATGGCTCGTTAATGATTTTTGATGTTTAAATACTTTTTTCAAGATTCAGTTTAAAAAAGATATTATAAAATAAATTTGCCCCACTTTATTGGAAATAGCTTACAGTTAAAAAGGAATTAAATTAAACTATATTCCAAAATTTTGGAAATGGTTTAAACAGTGGAAAGAACATCGATACTGGACTTTAAATTCAATTTGGAGAGAATTTTGATTTTACAAACTATTTCATTTTTTGTCTTTTTTGTTTTGTTTTCATTTCCATTTTTTATAGTTACTTAATCTGTTTCATTAGATCTGGAAATTTTTTTTCAATGGTCGATAGAAGATTAGAGTTGATTTTGTTAAATTGAAAAGTCAGATACAATTAGTTGATGTTATCTTATCATTTGACCGATCAACAATTGTTGGTGAAAATGTCAACAAATTTACAAATACATTTTTTGTTCAGCTTGTTTCATTATTTTTGACATATCAATTTTTTTTTTTTCGTTTTATATTTTTTTTCTTTTATTTGGATTAAAATGATTACTTATAAAAACATTAATATTGGGTAACTTAATTTTTTTTTTATATTAGGTTTGGAAAAATAGAATAAATCGGGTCTTTTTTTATATTCCTATTTTTGATTTTGGGTGTGTGCAAATTTTTGGAATGGGGTTTAAAAAAAAAAATTGTTTTCATAGATCTGAAATTAAAAAATTCAAATTGAAAAAAACAATTGTTCAATCTTAGTTGATATTTCCAATGAGCAGGTATATCTTCAATTTAAAACTAATTGTTTTCTTTAAGCACAGAATCATTTTGATTCTATTTAATCTAATTTATGGTTATTTTGGAACCCTCTCAATCCGAAAGGGTAAGGATTTTATATGATTCTTTCGGAATAATGAATAACTCATTTATAAATCAAAAAAATGAAAAAAAAAATATTCAAGATCTCAAAAAACACCAAAGAGCAAGATTATAAAAAGAACACAGTTGTTTTCAAAATTATAATTCTAATCATCAAAATTGGAAAATGACCTCAATTCTTTCATAATATTTGATGTTTGATTTTTAGGAGATTGATCTCAAAAATTTCTATAATAGAAATTTAAAAACAATTAATCCTTTGTTTTCAAAATTATATAATTTTGAAAGATTTAAATTGGAAATTGTGTTATGTTCTTTAAGTGATTCTTTTGAAAATTTTCTTCATTTTTCATTTCTGATTTTTTTGGATCAATTGTACAATACATGTTGATTTGTTTTTTATTGTTATTTGAAACCCAAAAAAATTGTAGGTTAATTATTTTTTCTATTTCATATAATTTTTTTTTCCCTAATTACTCAAACCTTAAATTAAAAAAAATTTTTAAATTTTTTTATGGTGTCGAATAGAAATCCTTAATAAAAACATGTTTTTTTCATGTTTTAAAAATTTTTTAGATCTTTCTCACTTCACAAAAAAAGATATTCTTTTCAAAAAAAAAGGGCTCTGGGAATAGTGAGACTCGAACTCACGACCTTTAGATGTCTTATTCATTGATTATGAGGCTAACGCGCTACCGACTGCGCTATATTCCCAAGCTACGATTTTATTCGACTTTTGGATTTGATAAAATTATATATATGCAACTTTTGGGATTCAAAAATTTGGTGAATTATTTTCAAAAAACATTATTAAAAAAAACACTCACTAATTATTTCACAAAATCAGGTTAGTGTCTACTCAAAGATCTTAACCAACTTTATGTTTTTCTTTTTTCTTCAAACTCATTTGAAATAATAATTTTTCTTCTGCATTTTATAATTGAAATTAACTGGAAAGAGATTTCTTTTTCATGAATTTTTTTCTTTTTCTAGTCTTCTTTTATTTGTCTCCTCTTTCGAAAATGTGACAGGTTTGGAGTTGATTAACACTTTGGAAATTGGCTTGTGTTGTATGATACTTTGTGTTTGTGAATAGATATCCCCAATAAACACAAACATATTCTGAAAATCTAATTTAAATAAAAAATGAAAAGGTTGTTTAAAACTTAAATTGACAAAATTAAACAACAAGTCTGATGACTAAATTCAGAAACATTTTTCAAGATAACATTTACAAATTAAAAAAAAATATCTTGTTTCTCTCTTTATCAAAGAAAAAAAGAAATTTGATAAGGGGAATAAAAAACAAATTACAAATAAGATCAAATTCACAATGAGTGTTTTAAAAACACACTCACTTTATTTCAAGTTGTTTTTCCAGAATCAAAATCTTTCTTTTTATTAATATTTCTTTCTTCATAATCCAAAATTCATTGATAGGTCTCCATTATCTTGCAATTGCATTTTCAAATTGAGTTTCTTTCGTGGTAATTCTAAAAAAACAGTTTATGTTGAATTTAGAAAGTTTTTATGGTCAAAGCAAATTAAAAAGAAAATAATTCAGACATAAAAAAACAACCTGCTTTAAATTTCAAAGACACACATATTATAATCAAAGTAAGAATAAATATTTTTCAAAAAATTCTTTTCATTTTTTCGATTTTTGCAAATTAAGTTTTGATTTTCTCCAAAAATCAAAAACAGAAATGTGTAACTAGTTTCAAAATTAATTCTTAAAAACAACAAACACCCCCCACTTTAACAAAACACAAACCATAAAAACAAAAACAAACTCGACTCTTTTTTCTATTTATCAAAAAATAAAAATAAAAAACAAAAAAATGAACCAAACTTTTGCTTGAATGGTAACAAACAAATTTTTTTAGCAAATAAAATCCAAAACCACCCACTGACACCACAGCCACGTGTCAAAAAAATCAAGCCTGTATTACCGGTTCTCCAAAATGGGATCCTTTCTGTGACGCCAAAATTCACACGAGGTGGCTCGAAGAAAAATCTCAAATCGAAAAATACAAAATACCGAACCAAGCAAATTAAGGATGGTATTGGAAGATTAAAAAGGTGCTCGCAAGAATCGAAATCGTTTAAGAAAGTGATTTGGCTATTAAACACAACCCCAAACCAAACCGAAGAGAGCCGATCGTCGGTGGGCTCATTCGGATCTGAAAGCGACTTGATGCAAACCATCGACAAGGGTATGCTCTCCAAAATCAGGGAGCCCTTGACCCGTTACGAAATCCAAGATCGCTCGTATCGCTTCCTAAGGACACTGTCATTAAAGCAACGCGCCAAAATCGTATCGGCTTGCGTACAGCGCACAGAGCAAATGGGCCTAATGGCTGGATACCAGCCAATAGGAATTAGAACCAACGAGTGGGTTTGGAAAACCGATTTAAAAGAATTGTTAAAGTATGAGATCCTTGCTTTTTTCTTTCTATTTTTGTATTTCCCAATTTTATTCTTGTTTCTCTTGAAACACCTTGACGAGAAAACGGTTATTTGAAAACCAATGATTTGAAACGCCTTTCTTTGTCTTTTGCTTTACTCGCACTGTCGCCGTCACTGTCACTGTCTTTTTCAAATTTCTGGTATTTTCAGAAAAAATGCGAAAAAATTTTCGCTTCATTTTTCTTTTTTTTTAACCAGAAATTTGCAAAGAAATCGATTGTAATTCCTGTAAACTCTATTTAGAGTGCTGGTCTCTTTTTTGTACACTATACCATGTAAGATAAGAATCCTAAATGAACCCAATCTTGAATAAAACGAAAGAAGATAACCAACTGAAATTTTATCTCCTTTATTAACCAAATATCAGTAAAAAAATAATAATTTTAGCTTTTGAAACAATAAACAAGCACTTCTTTATTTTGAACCAATTTGTGATGCGTTGTGTCTTATTTCGATTGTGAATGGTAATTAAACAGAATTTTTGGGGAATTGAAAAAAAAATTTCTTTTCATTTATGAATCGGAAAACTAGACTACACTATCATGAAAAAATAAAATTGAAAAAAAAAAAAGTTAGACCAAACTACTATGTTCATTAAAAAACCTTTCATCTTGAATAAGAAAGTTTACTCACCATATAATCAAAATTACAGAACTTCGATTTCATGAGGCTATTTTACTTATTGTTGTTAGTTTAGCCACCTTTTTCAAAAGTCTCTAGTCAAGAAAAAAAGGTGTTTTTTTAGGGTAAAAAATTTCAAAAAATGGAAGGATGAATTTTAGTTTAATTCAATGTGAAGATATTTACTTTGATAGATAATAACGAATAGTTTTGAAAATGTTGTAATCATTCATTAAAACTGAAATAGAGAAAAAAAATTCCTGTTGATAATTTTTGCTGTGTCATAGTTGGTCCAGAATTTAAAAGAATTGAGTAAAACCCATAGATTTTTCTCAATTCTTTTGAATTCTGAAAAACCTAACGGAAGTGTCCGTAGGGTACCGTAGAGTGCCTAGGTTTTCTTGAGGTTTTCTGTTTATTTCTAAAGTAAAAAAAACCTAGAACACTTCACAAATAAAATAGAAAACCTCAAAAAAACCTAGAACACTTCACAAATAAAATAGAAAACTTCAAGAAAACCGCCATTAGGTTTTTTTTAATTTAAGAAATAAACAGAAAATTTCTGATATTTTCTTTTTATTTCTTAAATTAAAAAAAACCTAATGGCGGTTTTCTTGAAGTTTTCTATTTTATTTGTGAAGTGTTCTAGGTTTTTTTTTACTTTAGAAATAAACAGAAAATTTATTAAAATTTTCGGTTTATTTCTAAAGGAAAAAAAACCTAACGAAAATCTATTGATTTTCCAAATAAATAGAAAACTCAAGAAACCTAACGAAAATCTATTGATTTTCCAAATAAATAGATAACTCAAAAAAACCTAACGAAAATCAATAGATTTTCTTAATAAAATAGAAAACCACAAAAAAACCTAGAACACTTCACAAATAAATAGAAAACTCAAAAAAACCTAACGAAAATCTATAGATTTTATAGATAAACAGAAAACTCAAGAAAATCTAATGGCAGTTTTCCAGAATTCAAAAGAATATAGAAAAATCAAATATTTTACTCAATTCTTTTGAATTCTGGAAAATCAAAAAAAAAATAGTTTTTTTAAGTTAAGAAATAAATAATTCTTTAATAGTCAAAACAATTGGTTATCCATTTGAAAGATATTTATTAAATTTAAAATGCTTTTAAAATATAACAATTATAACGTCTTAACTGTGAAAAAAAAAAATATTCAAATTTTTTTACTATTAAATCTGAAAATAAACTTAATAGAACCAGGAAAATTGGATTTTCCAACTTTAATTGTAAAATATCTAGAAAAATAATTTTTGATCAAAGATCTTTTATTAACCAATATTGTTTATTATAAGTGAGGTTATTAAAAAGTAAAAAAATAGCAAATGCTTAATTTTTTTTTCAAAAAATTTTTTCAGGTTTGTATACTGTTACAGCCACTTTAAAAAAGCTCCAGAATTTTTTAAAATTAAAACCTTTTAAAAGTTTTCTTTTTTAAAAAGCACTGCTCTTCCCACCCCATACTCTACCACCCATTTAAAGGTTGTTTACCCGATTGTTTAAAATAGAAAACTCTCAAAATTTTTTTTGCTGTTTTAAAATCTCAAGAAAACTAGAAAAAAGTTTTCAAAAATTCTCGAACTTTTTTAAAGTGGCTGTAACAATAAATGATCATGAAAAAATTTTTTGAAAAAAAAATTAATTTTATCTCAAAAGTTGAATCAAAAAGATCTAACAAGATCAAGAAATAAACAAATTAAAATATTATTATTTCATAATCATTTTGTGAAGATCCTGTTTTTTTCATATACCAATTAATTATGATGAAACAAATTTCTATGTAAATTCAAATAAAAATTTAAAAGTTATTAAGGGACTAGCATCTACTACAAAAACATTTAAAATTAAAGTATATTGCTATTAAATATAAACCATATTAGTATCCCATGGTTTAACTGTCTCTAAATAAAGATTTATAAAATAAAGCAAATTACAAAAATTTGGACACAGTTTAAACAGTTGAAAGAATAACAATACTACACTTTACATTCAATTTGGAAATAATTTTGATTTTACAAACTATTTATTTCATTTTTTGTATTTTTTGTTTTGTTTTCATTTCCTTTTTTTCCAGTTACGTAATCTGTTTCATTTGATCGGGAAATTTTTTTCAATGGCTGATCGAAGGGTTAAAGTTTAGTTGGTTAAATAGAAAAGTCACATACAATTAGTTGATGGTATCTTATCATTTGATCGATCAATAATTGTTTGTGAAATTTCAACAAATTTACCAATCCAATTTTTAATTCTCGCCCGTTTCCATCATTTTGGACTTATCGATTTTTATTTTTGAGTTTTATATTTTTTTCTTTTATTTGGATGAAAATGATTACTTATAAAAACATTAATACTGAAGAACTTAAGGACTACGTTTCAGATTTATCAAATAATCTCAACACCATTATATCCCAATATCATTTAAAATGTGAAAAAATGATCATCAAAATATTCTCCAATTAGGATCAATAAATCATTTTATGTTTTTAATTTTTTAATGAAAAATTCAGAAAAAATTTTGGGATACCTAAACTCAAACACCCTTGCTAAGAAAGGTAAAAATGAAAAAGAAAAATAACCGAAATTTTCTACCTGAAAAA